ACTTGTGACATTACCATTACCACTTTTAATAGCAAATTTCTAAGCCATGGACATTACTGATGATGAACTATATTTTTCATTAATCTGACTCTGTTTCTTATTGCTGTTACCAAGTCATTGACTATTAGCTTTAATTTCCATCAGYGGTTTTCATCTGATTTGGGATGCATGCCATCCCAAACATGTCTTTCTTGAGGGAAAGTTTTCATATCCTTAGCCRTATTTTCAACTTATGTAATAAGAAAAATGCCCAAATTTTCAAAGTAGACTTTGGCATTTATTAAAGATATAATGGCTGCCATCTCTAATGWGCCTTTTACCTGACGTACAGGCCAAGGTCAACTTCATACATTTCTAAATGATAGCTGTTGTTTGGCTTTTCTGTATACAAAGTTCATTTCTTTTAGGTAATTTTTTTACAGTTTAATTATAGACACTGACTCCAGTTTCCACCTGTTCTCATTTGTTTTATTGTGAACTTTCTTTTTTCAGGGRATGCTGCTTTAACTGTTCTATCATAACACTTTGACAACTTTCTTTGTCTACCAGTATGCTTCTTTTTCACAACCTTCCAATTTTGTTTGTATTTCTTTCAGACTGTAGACCTGGCTGACTGGGAACAACAGGAGTCTTTTGCAACCTTCCGTGATAATTGACCCCTCTTAAAGAAGTTTCAGAACTCCCTTTTTTTTTCTGACATTCTCCTGTTAAAGCCATGATTCATGTCAATCCGCTTTGTGCAGCAGCTCTCCATGGCGCGACCACTTTTTTCTAACTGAAGATAATTAGCAGATTTATTCTGATCCAGGTGTTGTTTGTTTTTAGAACTGCAAATTATAGTGATTCCTTTTTTTATTCGAATTGAGTGTTTCTTTTCCTTCTACTTTATCTAAAATAAGTGATTGTGACTGACTGCAAGATTAGAGTTTTTTTTTTCAATGGTAATGGCAGAAGGTTGGGTATTTGGAAAAAAATGTCTTTGTGCCATGTCTGTGACTTATATTTTATACAAAATTAAACATTAGAAAGAACATCCTCAAAGAGTGGTGATTCCACAAGTTTTATCAGGGGTTTTAGTCCACATAGCAGACAGGTGTGGGCCAGATATGGTGTCAAGCTGGCACTGATGGCTGACTGCTGGCATGGCAAGAGCTTTGTCAACAGGATGTGGGCCAGGTTTGGCAATGATTGCACTGTTCTTAAGATGGCATGCCACAACTGGCCTATTTACGGTTTGGTTTATATGGTGCTGGCCCATGCATGGACACCGTCTGGCGAAGCAAATATGGGCCACCAAAGTGCTGTAATTCTTTGCTGTTTCTTCGATGTTGTGTGTTACCCCCTATTTACACTGCGCACAYTTCCGCTCCATTCCATTGTGCAGTTCACCATAATTCATTTCCACCCAAATTTACACTGCTTGTGGCTCCCCCACAGTGCAAAGCAAAGAGGTTATCTGAGAAGGCATACACAGGAAATGTGAGATTGTGCAATAAATCCAGTGATAAATGTGAAAGTCAGACCCATTTAATTCATTCTGTGGAAGATGGACTGGTAACAACAGTTGAAACCGTGTTTGTTCTTTTCTTATTCCATATGTCAAAATAAAATCCACACATTTTATGTGTATACATTCTGCATGTTGCCATCTGCTTCCCAAACAGAATTATAAATTTTTGACAGAATATATGTATAAATATAACCATACATTTCAATTCAATTCAAAAATACTTTATTGATCCCAGAGGGAAATTAGATGTTGTCGTAACTAAAAACTTATTGTAGATGCTGATGGCTGTGGGCAGGAAAGATCTTCTGTAGTGGTCTGTTTTACAGCGAAGTTGAAGAAGCCTCCGACTGAAGACACTTTGTTTTTCTATGACAGTCTGATGAAGAGGATGGTCAGGGTTGTCCACAATATTCTTGATTTTATGTAAAATCCTTCTTTGCACCATCATCTCCAGAGATTCCACAGTCGTCCCCAGAATAGAACCAGACTTCTTTATCAGGTTGTTTATCCTTTTTAGGTCCCTGGCTCTGATGCTGCTGCCCCAACAGATGATGGCAGAAGAGATGACGCTCTCAACAACAGACTTGTAGAAGATCTGCAGCATCTTGCTGCAGACATTGAAGGATCTCAGCTTCCTTAAGAAGTACAGTCTGCTCTGTCCTTTCTTGTAGACTGCTTCACTGTTGAGTCTTCAGTCCAGTCTGTTGTCCAGATGAACACTGAGGTATTTATATTCCTCAACCACCTCCACTTCTTCTCCSATGATGGAAACAGGGTTTGATTTAGCACTATTTCTCCTGAAATCTACAATCATTTCCTTTGTTTTGTTGACATTCAAGATGAGATGATTGTTCCCACACCATGTCACAAAGCGGTCCACCAGCTCTCTGTACTCAGCTTCCTGTCCATCTCTGAAACACCCAACAACTGCAGAGTCATCTGAGTATTTCTGTAGATGACAGCAGTCTGACTTGTGCTGGAAGTCTGAAGTGTAAAGTGTGAACAGGAATGGTGAGAGTACAGTTCCCTGTGGTGCTCCTGTGCTGCTGACCACATGCTTAGACACACAGTCCTTCAGTCTCACAAACTGTGGTCTGTTTGTCAGGTTGTCTTTGATCCAAGTGATTGTTGAGGCCTCCACCGGAGTCTTCTGGAGTTTCAGACWAAGCAACTCAGGCTGAATTGTGTTAAAAGCACTGGAGAAATCAAAGAACATGATCCTCACAGTGCTGCCTGCTTTGTCCAGATGACAGTGGGTTTGTTGAAGCAGGTGTATGATGGCGTCTTCAACTCCAACACGGCAATAAGCAAACTGCAGGGGGTCCTAATGTTTGCTAGTTTGCTTACTCAGGTGGGTCAACAGGAGTCTCTCRAGGACCTTCATGATGTGGGATGTCAGTGCAACAGGTCTATAGTCATTGAGGGCTGATGTCTGAGTTTTCTTTGGTACTAGAACCAGACAGCATGTCCTCCACAACTTGGTCAACCAATCTGACGGGGAGGAATTGTGCTGGAGGATTGGAGACTCCTGTGCCACAGTGCTGGTGACACAGGAGACTCCAGGCTGCTGGGCGTGGACCTTGACTGCCCTTCGGTTTGTCTTTCTTGGCCTCCGGAAGCAGTGAAGGACTCCCTAGCACCAAGACACCTGACTTCGTTCAGATGATCCAGTCTTTCCCTACCAAGCCCTGGGMGTGGCCTCACTGCACGCAGCCTGTCTACT